TTTGGGGGGGATGAAGCTGCAGCAGGGCTTACGCTTAAGTTGCAGTCAGGGCCGGGCAAGGCCGGGGCCGCGCCACCCACACCTGAGGCCACGTTGGTCAGGGCTGGTGCCAGAGAGAGAGAGAGGCATGCCCTGCACCCCCCTTAAATACATGAATTCGCAGGAGCGCTGATTGGCTTGGCCTTGGTCAGAGGTGGGTCTGACAAAGGAAAAGGGGGAGCTTTCCAGGTAGCTTCTTAAAGGGCCATCTCCATAGCCCTTCCCCTGTTATCAAAGACACAACCAAAAACCCCTCACATAAAACCCAATACTTGGAAGTATAAATTTACTGTATGTGCAACTCAAGTAAGATGCTTGATCTCTTTGCATCTAATTTCAGAAGGGATGCTGAGTGCTTAGTTTAATATTTGTGAGACAGATGTCCGAAGAGCTAGATTTATGAGAGATACTTGGTGAAGTATCCATCCCAAATGATTTCAACAAACTTAAGTGCCTGAACGTATTTGTGTGTGCTTCTATGTGTGCCCACTGCTAATTAAAGGGCAGTTTTTTAAGACACTTTTCTGCAATCATAAAGATTCTGTGCAGGTATCTCTTTAATTAATTGAGTAAGAAATATTTCCTTTTCTCTTCCTGTACTCTCTGCAAAAGTAGACAAAGATCATAAAACAAGTGCTTTAGAACATTATAAATTCTCCCGTGTGTGAGAATTGTGTGTGGGACAGGACAGTTCCCACTCACCCACTACGATTCTGAATCCCCACTAATTTACCAGGAATATATGTTCTGCTACCATGTTTCACATAGTCAGGGGTTGGACCAGATGACTTCTGGAGGTCCCTTCCAACCTTAGCCACTCATTGATAGTCCTGTTCTATCCATTATTTGTGCATCTCCATAAAGATTGTTTTAATTTTTTAAGGAATTTCTCATATAGCTTTTTTTGGGTTGTTTTGCAGTCGTGTTTCATGAGCGTATATTACTGGTTGGGAGGTTCATTCAGCAGTCAACTTTGGTTTGAGACCTATGATTTAGGCCGTTTTATTTCAACATCTCATCAGTAAGGGGATAGGCCACAAAATGCCTTAAAGATGAGGACAGGAAATTTATATTTGTTGCACAAAGAAAGTGAAAGAGAGCTAAAGAATCTTGAGAAAGAAATAGAAGGGTCAGAACAATATATTCAAGAATGTCTTGAAGTACCATGCTGAAAAGATATGAATAATGCAAGACCGAGTTGGTCAAAGAGGAGAGTTCTGGATACAGTGAGAATCTGGATGAATGAACAATCTCTTACGGAGGTTATACATGAAGATGTGAGGACCTTTAAAATGTCAGGATCTGCAGGAAGACTGGGTTCAAGAGACTGCTCGGACTGTAGGCCAGGCTGACAGTCTGAATGTGGCCTTAACCCACACTCTGTGACAGGAGAAGTAGTGTTGCAGCATCTCTTGGTGGTTTTTTTCTCCTTTTCTTTTGCATGCAGAGAATAGAATGCTGTAGAGTTAAAATACCACAGGGGAATGTTACAGAAACAGAACACAAAATAGAGAGGGAGTTATGAAGTAGAGCCTGAAATAGAGAGTACAGGAGTTAGCTGACTGAAGACATTAAGTTACATAGCAAGTTGTTAAACTACAGCCTTGAGGACTCACCACATTTAGCAAAGAAGGATGTCTGTGAAGATGATTTGGTAATGTTCTTCCAGCAGTATTAGTATCTTTTCCCAGACCAGTTTTAAGATTCTTGTCATGACTTAAAATTGTGTTTAGAGACAGGACGAGCTACCTGAAATACAGTCAGAATTTTCTAAGACAGTATTTGATACATCTTAAGTACAATCATTCATACTGAGTCTTGAACCTTCAGCATAAGCTCGAACCACAGTGTAGTTGTCAAAGAACTGGCTCCTAGGAGCTTCGAATTAGTGACAGAGGTTGGAAGAGGACATCTCGTACTCTTGAGTAAGGAGGGAAGGGCAGAGATAAGTAGCAGGAAGAAGGTAGAAGGTATGAAGGAAAGAAACTGTTCCACTGAGGGAATGCTGAGTTTTGTCTCTAATTGTTGCAAAATAATATTGCTAATATTAAGCTAATAATCAGATATTGTAGACATACAAATGCATTAATACATAGTTTCGTTTTCCAGTGTACGTCAGCATTCTGTCCACAGCTTGTTGCAGTTCACCTGATGTCTCATCCCACTTGGTAGACAATGAGATGGGTGTATTTTCTGAGTTGCCGAAGACCCTGCGCACCAGTCGACAAACTGGGAGGCGAGACAGTCGAGTCACAACAGTAACTCCGAGGAACAGTTGTATCGGTAACTTTTTTAACTGACAACTTTAGAGGGTAGACAGGGAGAATCTGGCAACAAATAATGGCTAACTGTCAATGAGTGAACTAAAGGCAACTAGCAAATAAAAGACACTTTGGCAATGAGAACAATCTTTTAACAACCAGTCCATTTAAAATTTTCTATGCATGTGAGAAGTAGAGCGGGAGAGAGAAGAGAAAGAGAAAAGAGGAGGGAATAGAGAGAAGGAAAAGGTATCACCACCCCTGGGATCCGCTGTCGTCGTCGAGCAGCAGCTTCTGATCCATGGGTGATGGGTTGATCAAAACTTGGGTAAGGGGTCTGGTTTAGTCTCGTGTGCGTGTGTGATTGGTCAGCTAGTCCAGGTGTTGCCTTGTCAGTCAATGGTGCAGGAAGGGTACACCCTTACATGCGATTGCAAAATGCCAACATGCTCCTACATGCAACACATGTACTCGATAATCTTTATTTGCATATTCGTGTCTGTCACTCATGCATTTGGCCTTTAATGAAGCAAAAGGTAACTTTGATCACTGAAGAGTGGGGTGGATCTGTGAGAAGGCTGTCCCAGCTTCTTGAGCCCCCTTCTCCCCTCCCATGCCCATCCTTAACCTCAGACTGTCCCGGCCTTTACACCTGGTAATAGTTCTTGTTGTCTTTCAAATGCTTATCCTAATGCAGTTCAAAAAAACGTGCATGTTCTCGCCAAGCATCATTTTACAACTTTACACTTTTTGAAGAAAGAACTTGATAGAAACAGAATACAGGAGGACAGTCCTTTGCATTGTTATTTCTTTTGTGCTGAATTCCTTTCTGTTCTGCAGTTGCTTTATTTTGGGGCAGATGTTAGGTTGCTGTTATTTGGTTTATTGATTAGAATTGTTCCAATCTCGCTTTTGTTTGCCATTTATATTGGTGGGTTCTTTGGTTTTGTTTTTTCTTTTCTCTTTCCAGTAAGATTTCTGGGAGGGCCACCTCACAACCTACAAATGGAATCTTGCAATTTTCAGCACATTTTGTCCTGGCAGGCAAGAAGTGATACAACTGTGCCAATGCGCTATCGTGTGCTGTACGGTGACTACAGGCAGGTCTTATAAAATAAGACTTAAATTTTACTTTTAATGTTTATCAACTCAAAATACTAAAGATGGAGTTTTCTTGTTTGTTTTCTTGTTTTTCCACTTCAAAATGCTTCCTTCCCCCCAGCACTTTCTAATATTGGAGAATACAGACAGATTATTTTTTTGTTTTGATTTACAGGAACTGGAAGACTGCTAAACAATGTTCAGATATTACACAACTCTCCTGTAATCTGACAGATGATTTTAAAGACATTTTCACCGAGTATTCTGCATTGGTTCAGAGCTTCATAGGAACCGAAGTACTCAATTCCTCTGTATTAAGTTTTATGCCATATACCGACAGTAAGTTCTGTGTCTACATTTGCTCATTGTAGTAGTTTTTATTCCTGGCTGATGTACAAATTATATTCTGCTAGCTTTACAGTAACACACTCCAAACTAACTTGGTCTGTAGCTTATTCCTTTATGTAGGAGAATATGAATTTGTATATAATCTATCACATATCAGTTACAAGACAGAATACATAGCTAGCTTTCTAAAATTTGTGACTACAGCCGTTCTGAAAATGGACGAGGCTCTGGTTTTGAAATAAAATACATATATAAGTACAGAGGAAATAACATTGTGTTGAGCATTGACAAGCACAAAGTAAAAATTTCTTACATAACTTCAAAAAACCCCACGACATTGTTTTCATGTCTTCAAGTAGATGATGTTAAGAGTTAAAGAAATGCTGTACCTGCACTGGGTGTAGGGGAAGAGATTTGCTTGCTTGTTCATCAGCTTGCTCTTTTTCCTTTCTTTGCTGAAAGAAGCCACTTATTAGCTGTGACATCTTCTAGTGCCAGAGGTGGCTTCACCCTTATCTGTGCTTAGCGTTCAGTTTTGAAATAACAGAGACAGTGATTGAGGAGCATCTGTTTAGAAAGTTCAGTAATCAATGTGATGTGCTGAGACTAAAGTTACTGACAGTATATGGTTTTTGTAACTTTATGCTAATCCAGCTCACTTGCTCTGAAAACACTTCCTTTACTTAATGTTCACTAAAGGTAAAGAGTGTACCCTCTGACTGGAGAAATAGGTCATGTTATTTCTGAATTCACCACATACATAGCCACTGTCATGTCCATTTAGTCTCAGAAATGATGAAAAATTGGAGCGGTTGGGGAGAATAGCCAAAAGGATAACTGAAGGATTTAAGAACAACCCTCTGAGGTGGAGGCCTTCAGTCTTTCAGAGGTTAGTTTATTAAAGAGAAGAATCAGGTGCTGCATTGACCACTGGTTAACATGATAGCAGGCTTCTTCAAGTTTGTGAACAAAGCACAACAGCGTGCCCTGAGTGGAAACAGAAGCTAGATAAATTTTAGCTAGGAACAAGGGTTATGTTTTGAGTTGGCCACTGGAACAAACTGTCAGGTGCTCTGACTGATTGTCCATCACTGGCAACCTGTAAATTGAAATTGGATGTTTTGCTAGGAGTTCAAACCATAAGCAATTGAGTGAATTCATGTTTTCCGGAGCACAGGACTTAGATGAACCTTGTAGTCTTTTCTTGTTTTACAGTGCCTAAATAGGAAAGAATCAGTGTTGTGAGATGTTTCCCTACTGGATGTAGTTGATATCTACCTTCAGATATCTAAAGTGAATCTCCTGTTGACAAAGGCAGAATGGCTTCGTAACAAAAAGTCAGGAAGACAACAACATTTGACTGTAACCAGATTTAAGCTAATGTTTATTTGCAACTTAAAAGATGAAGTAGTAAGTGTTCAAACATCTGATTAGGACATGCTTTCCTCTTTGCAAGTAGATGAAAGCTCGCATTTGTTCTAAGTATTAAACTTTTTTTTTTTTTGCTTTCTACACTATTTTAGGAACAGAAGCAGTTAGCAAATGTATATTGCTTTTTTGAATTTTGCAGAGATTGGCAAACCAGCCTCCACCTTGATCAAAACATACATGCTTTTGGAAAAGACAAAAGTGAAATGCAGACTCTTTAAATTGTCATGTTTCCACTCCCCACATACACACTGTACTATGCAGAAATGGTGGATTATGGAGATAGTTTGTTCTCGCCCCATTTTCCAGCATTCCTACTTTTTTTGCTGTGTTGGAGGAAAGCTCTTAGGCGTGGTTCACTATGGAAGTTTCTTTGATCTTGATGGATGCGTAGTTTTGGAGAGAGGAGACAATTAGTGTCCAAGGCTCTTCAAGTACATACTCGTTCTGAGGACCTGAACTTGAGAGATGACTTTGAACTCAGTGGAAGTCTTGCAGAAGTAGACCTGTGTTTCACTAGGTCCTGTGTCCTGCTGTCAGTCGAGTGTTTAGTCTTTGGAGCTCAGCTGTCAACTTTAGTCCTGTCACCTTCCGTGCAAACGGTGTGGATATGTGCAGGGCTACAGATCACTGAATTCCTTCCAAAGAGTGACTATAAGATGATGATGAGTAAAAAAGTAGTCAGCTCTTCCTATGTGTTAACTTCAGTTTTCCTTGCAAATAGATAAAAAGCTCACATCTCTGTGGAGCTGAAGCAAAGCCTCTATCACTTTTCTGCTTCTTCCCTCTGTCACCTTTTTGCTTCTTCCCCTCCACTGCTTTCTGTTTTTAAAATGTAGTTATGTGAGCAAAGATCATTTGGTGTTAAAACTTAAATGTTGCAAGGGCTTGTGGGTTTACAGCAGTGACGTACTCTGGAATCTGATTAGTCAGCTATATATCTGTCACTGAAATAGAATTGTTACTGAATATGTAGTGTATAGTTTTTCCATCTTTTTTTTCCTCTTTGTTTTTTTCAATAGCATTCCTGGGACCACCAGAAGTTAATATCAGTTCTTGTCTAAACTGCATAAATGTCACCATAAAGCTGCCAACCTCTCACTTCAGAGACAATGGAAAGCTGCTGTCTTTAATTGATATATATAAAGAGCTTGATTATGATATAATACTAAAAACACTTGATGGAGAGCATAAGGTAAAGAACTTTTTGTTCACAAAATAATAATCTTAAATCTTAAGATATAATAATAATCAATAAGATATAATAATCAATAATCTTAAAATAGTAGGAGATCATTCAATAAAGACCAGTACAAAGCATAACACTTAAGAGTAGTTGTCTGTGAAATAAGTAGAGTGGTAACAGCTATGCAGGCAACAGTTTTACCAGAAAGGATGAGAGCATTTTATGATATTACAAGTGAAACATGACTCGTGTTGCTGAGAAGTTAAAAAACAAAACAAATCATAAAATAGAAAAATATCCCACCTCTCCATATTTTTCTATACTCTGTACTTGTAAAGCCCACTTACCCCGCTCCAGCCTGGGGTTCAGAAAAGGCATGGATCAGTTAAACGGGATCCAAAAAGGAACAGTGAGGACTGTGGGGGTTCGTGACATGTGACCTGAAAGGAAATGCTGGAATAATAGGAGACCACCAAGTATAAGCAAGCAAAGCACAGTCAGAGAGCAGAGTCTTCGAGTGTGTAAACATTTACTACAGAAAAGGAGGAAATAAACCATTCACTGTGGGTGAGAGCAAGAACAGTGAAGTGAAATTGGCAGTTGTGCAGCCTTCAGATTAGGCAGCCAAAGAGGTATTAATAGCAAGGCTGGCAAAGCACTGGAATAAATTGTTTAGCGAGAGCATGGACTGTCTGCACTGGAAGGTTTGAACAGCAGGTCAAACAGGTACCTGTTGGGAATTTGATTTGTCTAACTCATTCTGCCATGAGTCACAGAAGAAGGACCATAACTTGCCTGCCATGGATATTTTTTCCCTGATTTCTGAATCGGAATATCACTTGCAGTTTCAAGTCTGTAGAATCTATGTGATTCTACTCCAAGGGGACAAATAGTGACCAACCATTGGAGGTAGAAGGCAATTTATTTTTGATAATACGATATTTCACAAATAGGTGTAAGGTAGGCATCTTGGCATCAGCTAGAACTAGAGATGAAGCAGTTGTCTAAGTAAACCACTGAGTTACTGTGTCAGTTCTTGCAGTTTCAAATGCTAACTGCATTTCTCTGAAACAGCCATAATTTTATCAGTGGCTGGGGATCTCTTTTAGGCAAATAGCTAACTTAAAAACATTATCTTTCATGGCAGAGGCCACGTGAGAAAACCACTGAAGAAATTTTTAACACTGTCATTGAAGAATTGTATCCAAATAGAAATTACTGTGTGTCTGTTATGGTCACTGCATCTATAAACAAACATTCCATCCCATCAGCCTGGAAATGTATCACTGCAGACGCTGTAGCTCAACAAGGTAACTGTGCTGGGGTGCAGGAATGGATTGTCTGCCTTGATTATGTGCAAGTGTGTGTGTTAGTTGGTTGTTTTTTCTTTACGTAGGAAGATCTGCAAGTCAATCCCAAACATAATAAGAGAGAAAGTACTTTCTGTGTGATAAACATTGTGGGGATTTATAAGTGAAATATAAAAACCCATCCACTTTGGGGCTACAAATCTATTGTTAATCTTGTGAGCCATACCAATCTCAAATAACTGCATAAATAGTTCTCAAAAGTGGTGTAATTTCTTTTTTTAATTCCTGAATCTAATTTGAGGTTTGATCTTGTTCTGACTTTGGACCAGATCACCTCCAGAGGTCCCTTCTAACCAAAATCATTCTGTGATTCTAAACAGCAGTTCTGAGTGTGAAATATTAAATGTGGTCATTGGAGACTTCATTCATATTTGGTTGTTTTTTCTACTTGCAGATTATCATATAGTTGCAATTGCAGGCGCTGTATGTTTTTCACTGATGTTAGTTGGTGCCCTGAAGTGTGTGTATGCCGGAGGTTATATTCTTCTAAACAAATCACTTCCACGTACCTTGGTATGTTACAGTTCTCATGTTTAACCTTTCTGGCTGGGAGGAGGAAGCTTACTATCTGAAATTTCTAATCTTGTGCATTGGGTATAAGTTACGTAGGTACACATAATGTTTTAATTTGCAGTTTACCTATGTCAGAGATAGTCTGTTCTGTGGAACAAATACTCAGTCTTTTTCAAAACCATTTGGTGTTACTTCTGTGACCTGTTACTAACAAGAGATAGAGATGTGATCATCTCACCCTATTCAGCACTTTTCAGGCAGCACTTGGAATACTGTGTTCAGTTTTGGTCCTCACAGCGCAAGAAAGATGTGGACAGACTGGAGAAGGTCCAGAGGAGGGCCATGAAGATGATCAGAGGGCTGGAGAACCTGCCCTGTGAGGAAAGACTGAAGGAGTTAGGTCTTTTCTCCCCAAAGAAGAGAAGGCTCAGGGGGTATCTCATTACAGTATTCCAGTACTTAAAGAGCAGCTACAGACAGGACAGAGGCTCTCAAGACAAGGAGCAGTGGGTACAAGTTGCACCATGATGGGGTTTTATCTTGATATAAGAAAGAAATTTTTTTTACAGTGAGAACAATCAGTCCTGGAACAGCCTCCCTAAGGATGTGGTAGAGTTCCTATCCCTGGAGGTTTTCAATTTGTGATTGGACAGAGTGCTAAATAATCTCATCTGGGCTCTCTCTCATGAAAGGTTGGACCAGATGGTCTCTCAAGGTCCCTTCCAGCCTGGACTGTTCAGGGTTTTGTGAAGTTCGAGGGAGCAGGCAGTAGTGAAGAGGGGAACCCTGTGAATTAACTTTTAAATTAACTCTTTATGGTACACAGAAGTAGGCTAGGTCCCACAGCAGAGCACTCAGTGCCCTTGCCCTTTGAAAATTGCCTTATATGTAAATCCTTCTTGCAGCAGACAAATTTCTTCTACTGTCTGAGCCAGGGCAGTGACTCTAAACCAAAAAACCTACTCCAGTTCTTAGATGAAGTGCACAGGGAGAAGACCTGTTCTCCACCAAGAAGGAAGATGCTCCAAAAACATTCCAGAGCAATGTGTATCCATTGCTTCTTAGCAAAGTAGTTTCTGGCACATTTTGCCTCCATTATTTCACCCTGCAGCATTGTACTCCTCTCTAAGAACAAAATCAATTACCCCTGTAATATTTTTTTCATTTACTACAGCAGAAAACAGTGTTCCTTGAAGATTTGAGGATAGTTTAGCCAGGTCCCTGGTTGCTGGAGTTTAAAGGTATTTTGAGAAATTCTGCAATTGAAAGCAAATATTTAAAACCTGGCTTCAAGGTCTTTTCTTTATCACATTTCTATAGGAAAGTGAGCTGAAAAGACAAAAGGTAGCTTTAAGACCCAGTTGCATATTGGTGTCTTGTTCCTGTAGTGATGCATAAAACTGGCCTAGAGTGGAAGTTCTGGTCTCATTATCCCCAAAAGATGGGCCAGTTATTTAGGCACATCTGGAGAAGAGACACCTTAGTGCTGTAAGATTTTTTTTTTTTCCTAAAGCTATGCTTGATGGTTATTGTCCACAAAAGGAGTCAAGGACAGCATGTGAAGAGTGCTAAAAGTAAAAGTTCAGCAGCCTGGTAAGAGCAAGATCTGGATGGCTCTTGGAAATTATCTCACACACAACAAATAAGAACTTACTCTCAATTCACCTCAACAAGGAGACAAAGGATGGACCATCAAAGACCTTGGTCAGGATGAGATGCTGCTTTCAGGAAGCAGCCTTTTAAAGCATGTTGTTTCTCAGGAAAGCTGAGTCTGCTTTGTAACACCAACAGTAGCTTTTCAGTCAAAGGCAAAATCCTCTTCACTGAAGTCAGATACGCCTTGCAGCTCCCCAGCCTTCCAGTTTCCCATGTATCTCATACCACAGGTTGGGATGCAGTTGTGTGGATATGCCCCTGCCAGAGAAGTATCCTGGTTGTTAGTTCCAGAATTGTTACTGGCAAGCTCAGGACCACTTCTCTCAGTAGCCTAATGTCTGTCTTCCTTCTCCAGCCTCAGTAATGATTTGTTACTGTATTCTGTTATAAACAGGCATTAGTGAAAAGGATGCCCGATAGTGGAACGTGTGGCAGGAAAAAAAGGATATTTATATGCAAGTTATCTCTGCTAGTATCTAGAGCTGGCGTAGTTTTCTTAGAAACTTATAAACTTCTGGACCAGGCTGAATATTGAAGTTGAATGAAAATAAAAAGCAAAGGAAAAGAAACAGTATAGCTCTGGAAGAAAACTTATTTGGGGTGGGGGTAGGGGAAAGGATGAGCACATCCCCAAGTGATGCATCACTTTCCAAGTGCTAAGCTATTCTCAAGTAGTCAGATGTAGTGATTGGCAAAGAAGTCCATGATTAAGGAAGAAAGAAAGGTTATGGTCATGGTTATGTATCACTCAAACTTCCACTATTTTGAAGATAGTTGTTTTGGTTTTTTTAATTGTGATCAAGATTATGTTTTAGCCCTTGAGGAAGCCATTCCCAAGGCTTTTTTTTTTAATTTTAGTAGAAACAGAAGAGTCTGACTTCTTTTACATTTAATTCTATGGGGTTTTTTCAGTATAAATAGTTTCCACCTTTACAGAACAGATTGGTATCAACTTTTTTTAAGACTTTTTTCCCCTCGTGTTTCTGTCCTTTGCTGTGTCATTACCTTCATATTGCTAAGATTGCTGAATATTAATTTGTCATGTAATGTCTAAGGTTAATTTATTTTTATTGTCAACATTTTTCCTCCAATGCTGATCCTCAGAAGTGCAGAGGAAAACTGAGAAAATGAGACTTAGGTTGTTATATGCAGAATTGCTTCAAACAGTACATTTCTAAAGGACATTAACTGATCATCCATATAAGGCTCCTCTTTTGCATGGTAACTGCAGGAGCTAATAGAGAGTTGCAAGACTTGCCTCAGGTTTAAGATGTATTTCTAAAATGAGCTTTTTGTCTTAAAAAGATATCACAAAAATTAGAATTAAAACAATTGTGCTTGGCACTAGTGTAATTTCTTTGAGTCTGTCCAATGCCGTGTGCCTTGAATGCCTTGATTTCTACTGAAGGCTGTTGTATTTACAGGAACAGAAAGAAGGAAAAGTTGTAGGTGTCCTGCTCTGCAGAAAAAGACAAAAGTGTGGCACAGAAAGAATCACTTGTTTGACAGCCTCATGATTAGGGATTTTTTTTTTCATATTTTTCTCTGTGTGTGTTCAAACTTGGCTAATTTTTTTTTTATTATTCATTTGGGTCTTTCAGGTATTGAGGACATTTGCCTATTCACCTTGGACACTTGAATCTGAAGAAATAGCCTCTGTCGAGATCATTTACAAAGAGCTCAAGAAAAAGGCAAATGAATCCAGCGGTGATGTCAGTGATGACAGTGACAGCGATGCCATAAGCAATCATGACTACACAAGGCGTAATATCATAAGTAGAGCACCTCATTCCTCTGACACGCCAAATGGATTTGTGCAGTACTCTAGAAATACTCCATGTGATGACAGCAGCAGCCAGGCAAGTGAGAATCCAGACGCTGACCCAGGAGATTCTGAAGAGCACGAGACGGACACTGAAGAAGACAAAGACACGAGTAGTGAGTTACTTAATCCTTTCTCTGAGGTAAATTGTAACTATTCTCCTGGGAGAAGGAACAGTGCTTGCTTTACCATTAACTTAAAAACTGTGCTGTTGGGTACCTCTGAAGAGGACGTGGCAAGTTCTGCCGCTCTCCTTTCTCCCCAGGAGGATGTAGCTGAGTGGCAATGTACTCGTGCTTTTGAAGCAAATCTCCTGGATGACACAGAAAGTGTGGAGAACCCGCACTGTCATAACGGCTCTCAGGAATGGCAAAATTCCTCTCATTCTTCTGATGAAAGTGACTTGTCAGATTCAGATATGGACCAAAAAACTGAATACCTAAGAAGATGAATAATTGAGAACCACTATTATTGTGTCACATAGGAATTGATACTGTCCAACTTTATTTCTGAACTCAACATAGTCATCTTGTCTCTTTTTTTTTTTTTAACTTTGAGTATATGCCTGAATACTGAAAATATGCAACGCTCATTTTTAACAAATGCTTCTCTGATCTCTCCAGGTTGCTCCAGGTATGGTTCAGGTTGGATTAGCTACAGAGAAACAGAAATGACTGTTAAGATGCAGCAGAAAATGTAGTTATTTCATTATGCAGTTTGATAGTGAATTATACCTTTTAGCTATTGCAAAGTAAATATTTGATGTAACTCAAGTGAGAAGTTGAGGGAGCTGTGAGGGGCTGGTCTCAACCAGACCAGTTTTTTAACTTGAAAGGACTCTGCTATTGTTCTGTAGCTCTGTTGATGGATTACTCTGAAACCTGTTTTGCTGGATGCATTGCTGTATTCATGTCAGCGAACGGATTTCCACGTTTGTGCAGAGAGCGCTGATCAAGTGAAATAATGGGGATCAGGATAAGCTTACAAAAGAATTCTCCTTACTGTGAATCAAGGCATTAAATATACCTTTTTATAATTTTTATATAATTTTGTGCACTTATTGAATACTACACTTTTTAAAAAATGTTTTTATAATATTTAAAAGTTACTGGAATGTACCGTTTAACATTTGTGCTTCATAAAACGAAATTGTTTCATATCCCTGTCTGAAATTTTACCATGGCTCCTACATGCCTTTGAAGAGCTCCATGAGTTAACCTGCTAAGAATTTACTCCTGATGGGACGGCTTTTAGGTGTCAGATAGCTGAAATAACAACTTTTTGCTTTGTACTGATGTGCTTAGGTAGTTTTTTCTGGCCCCAGGTCGTTTCTGGCTGCGTGGCTGACAGCCATTGTTTTGGACAGATAGCTGAAAGTAGTGTCTAAGGTACTGGCATTTTTTTCTGCTGCTGCACTGCTGTTAGGTGTACGTACCTGACAGCTTGCATCTTGGCAACCTAATTATTTGCAGATTTATGCATCCGTAGAATTAGTGGGTGAAACTTGAGCTCACACCGACCTTGTCATGCTCTGCGGTTTGTACAGTGCCGTTGGTGCGCACCTCTCCACAGCGGCAGAAGTCTGGGGAATTGCTCGCACGTAAGTGAAGGCAGTGGCACTGTGCATATCCCAGGGAAGGCCAAACCTGCCTTGTAGCTCTGTTTAATAACAGGAGGTGTTAAATGGGCCAGGGACAAATTTATTAAACCCCCACAAAGAACTGGTATTTTCAGTTGGCAACAGTAATAGCCTGAGAAAGAACCCCTTTTTATAATGAAACTGCTCTGCTCTTCCCCCAAGTTTATGCTGGTTTTGATCAGGGACACTAAATGTTCTCATAAAAGCAGTGGCATTGGCATCTCTGGTGCAGGCAAGATCCTGAGGGCAGGAGATAAACGTTTCCTCGGGTAACGTTTGCATTGCCTGGGACGGGAATTCCACTCAAGATCAGATTTGATGATCAGGTGATGCTCCCCCGGAGCATCGGCCCCGTCGGCAGAGGGTGAAGCCCCGCAGCTCCGGTCTGCCGCGGTGCTCGCACACCGCCTCCCGTCCCACCCTGCCCCGCC